CAGCAGTAGGTCTCCATCCACCTGGAGTTCCTATGGATTAAGATGGATGAGAGTATGTCAGATACATCACTGGCTTACTATTTAACTGAGCTATGGTAATGACAATGATGTTCACCTGGAAGCGGTCACAATAGGCACTGAAGCCAACTTGCTGCAGCCAGGTCAGCACTTCACAGGTTTTCCAGTTGGGCACACATGACAAGATATGTTTAGGCACTTCCTCTCCCATCATGCTCAGAGCCCGCTTGGCGAGAGCACAAGTTGTGCCATTACTGGTGTACATGACGATTCTTTTTAGACTCTGCACTGCTCCAATCTCTTGAAATATCTTGAAAAGGAGGACAAATTCAAACTCAGTTTCACCAAACCCATAAATATATTACCTAACACTTTGAGCTCTATGTGAAGGAGACAAAGACTGTACCTTAGTGTTGTGCTGACGGGACTTGATACTGGTCTCAACGCAAAGGTAAAAGGCTGCAATGCACTTTCCTTCCAGTCGTGTGCCATCCAGCAATGGCAGGAAGTGCTGCAAATCAGATGCGGTCCTCCCCTGCATGCAGTCCGCACTGTCCAGTAAACTGCGGGCAAAGTCATCTGGATCCAGAGATGCAATGAATGGCTCCACCAGCTCCAAGGTCCCAGATTTCACCACCTCCTTCTCAATTTCCCGGTTTGTAGCTAACACAGTCACAGCCAGGCATGCGTAGAAGCGAATGAGCTCATCCTCTTTTGAAAAAGCCAGTGGGAAAAGCCATTCAGCTGCCTGTTTCTCAATCATCCATCGCTGGCAGCGGTGGCCTCCGTACAGGGCACAGTTAGCTAGAGCCACAGCGCAGTGGCGCAGCACAGTGGGATCGGTACCTCGGCACCAGAAGAGGAGGGCATCCAGGGCACCGTTGGAGATGAGCTGCATGGACGTCTCCTCAGTGTGTTTAAACATGTGCTCCAGGATCCCTGAGACACTGCGAGCCAGCTGAGCGTCCTCCTGCTGTCGAGTCAGGTTGAGGATGACCCCAAGACCCATTCGAGCAACATAATCTCTGCCAAAAGAAACATAATGATGACAATACCTAGTCTAGTGGATAGACTGCCACCCATAAATGATTATTAAACACCTGTATACTACTACATAACAATTAGTTGATAAATTATGTAGTCAATTTGACAATTAAAGATCATTTCAGTCATTTAAGGAAAAATGACAGACACAGTGGTGAACGTGCATCAGTTTTCTCACTGTTACCTGAATATATTGTAGATTTACCAATCAATACTCAGTTTTGCTATAACCTAGAGTTGAACATTTTGTTGGGAGTGTGTCAGAGATAACTTGGTGATATGCATATCTGTTATTTTGACTTTGGTCAGTGCTATGACAACACCACCAGCTTTTTATTGCACTGCATTATATCAAAGTCTTGGTGTTTTGTGGTGTTTTGTATATTCTTGTACACCTGTCTCACCTTGTACACCTGACTCAATCTCAACAGAAACAGAACACATTCCAAAAGGTGGGTAACCTCTTTTTCATTGCAGGGCTGATGAAATAAACTGTATTAACACTGTTCAAGTGTTATTTTGTCCACCCCTGTACATAAGTACTGTAGCCTACCTGTTTTCTGAGATCAGTATCTGCTCCAGCAGCTTTGCAGACTCATAGGTGATGTCCACGGGAGGTATCAGTAGGAGCTGCAGCAGCAACTCCAGGCCTCCATCCAGTCGGATCCTGTTACAGATCTCCTCGGCCACCCGACGGCCAACAGTGGGCAGAACCCAGGCCTCCTCCACCAACTGGAAGATCTCCGCGATGGCCCTGCGGGTCTCATCTGAACCACAGGTTTCCGTGGTTGACCTCAGCCTCCTGGTGGCGCGGCGCAGGGCGGGGAATGACGCATCCAAAGCGGCCTGCACGTCGGCATTGATACCCGGGGAGACTGCTCTGGGTTCGGAGCCGGAGCCGGAGCCGCTCCTGCCTCTCTGCAGTCGGCTGACATAATCCGGGACCGTGAGGCCATC